ACACACAGTCTGTGTGTTAATAACCTTAATTAAGGTGCATTCAAGTTATAATTTCTTTAAACCCCCACAGCTGATTTTGCTCAAACTTGGTAAGAAACATCCTGGAAATGAGCAATGTTGCACAGTTGTAAAAAATAAAATAAAATTTATATTTAATTTGCTCTGCTGCTCAATAAATCATCATTCATTTAATCTGCTCCAACTCAGCAGTGCAAGCATGTATACAAAACATTTTTTTTTTTTGTAAACGTCGTGCAATTGTGAGACAAACTAATTTCCACAACAAAAAAAGCGTATTTTATTTAACTGCTATTATTAAGTTGATATGGTATAATAAAACAGGCGTAAATCAGCGCACCTGCCGTAGCTCCTTCCGCATCTGACAAACGTGCGCGAACTACAACTAACAAACCCCTGATATAACCGCAGAGTGTTCAATATAACTCTAAACGCTAACATTTTTCCGTCTTACGTACCTTTTCAAGTTGGCTGTTTCGAGTTAAACTATTCGGCTAAAATAAAAATCGTGACAAGTTGATCTCGGCTGCTCTTGGGCGTTAGCAAAGTTTATTTTTACACAGGCACATCAACGGCCGCCTATGTCTGCGTTCGGGACAATCGCATTCTGCTCCGGCAGCGCAGGGGGCACCCGGATACAGATGGTGCAGTTTTAATCTTCTCCGCTTCATAAATATTTATTCCACATAGCTGAGTTGCTGATATGCGCCACACCTATCATTTGGTTCAAAACAGTTTCGTAATTAGACTCATAAATGTCATAAATGTATTACGGAGCTCGGCTGTGCAGAATGAGGGCTCATTTATTATTAACTTAATGCGAAAATGAGGGTCCTTCCTTAATGAATAAAAATAAAAATCCATTGGGCGTTTTTATTGGGGGGGTGGGTCATTTCAAGATAATAACCTGTAATATCCGCGGGGTTACATAAGGGATTTGATAGCCCCCTATGAATGTCAGCAATCAGCCTTGGGGGGAGCTGTGGTCTGTTTACTAGAGGGAAGAGGGGAAGGAGAGAGGGCGAATGAAGGGAGGGGGAGAACAGGAGAGAGGACGGAGAGAGGGAGGGCAAGGCAGGCAAGAAAACTTTTCACTTGAGGAGCTCCGGAGGAAGCGTGTGTGAGTGAGTGTGTGTATGTGTGTGTAAATGTGTTGGAGCGGCGACCATGCAGGTAAAAACAATAATTGGCTAATTGCTCCGAACTTAATTAGTCGGTTAATTGTCGAGCAGCGGAGGACCGAGGGAACGAACGGGTGCGGTTGATACTTAATCCGATCCATAACAAGACATTAAATCCCAAACTTTTTTTTTTTTTTTCGTCCTCTCTTTTTCTCCCTTTCCCCCCCCCCCCCCCCTTCTTCCTCCCACCCTCATCATCGTCGAAGCGACGCACGTACTCCGCGCTCGTGTCGCCAATTTGCGCCGTCAAAGCTGTTAAAAAAAAGAAACGGTAGTTTCATTAAAAACCCGCCATGTGTTGCACCGTTTGAGGTACGTATCCGAGCTGGTTCGAAGGGAGAGAGGTGGGGTGGCGGAGGGGGGGAGGCTCTGGTCGGGCTGCGACGGGAGGAGGGGGTCGAGTGTTCCCGACACATCTGTAAGCGGAGCCCCCGTTCATTAATTAAATGGCTTCAGTCGGGCTAGGCCTCCATTTGTTGAGCAGCAGGCGGCGGGCGGCGCTACCCTAGATGCCCGATTGGCAGCTCATAATCAGAGGGGTAAGGAACCAACTCGAGGCCGAGGTCTCCCTCCCACCCCCACCTTTTTTAATATTTTGCTCTCCAGTTGGAGCTCCCACCTGGCAGAGTTTGAAGAGCAGTTGGTTAATTATCTCCGCTTGCTAACAGGCTAGCTAGCGAACTAACAGCCGCTTTTGTTTATCAATTTAACCCGGGCTAGCAGCGAGTTGTCCCCCCTCGGCTAAGTGACCCAGTCTGTTTGTTAGCAGTCCGGATTATTAGCAGTTAACTCGCATTTCTGAACACCTCTGTAATGCGACGTTGCAGGGGAAGAAGAAGGGGGGAGGGGGGGGGGAGGCTGCACAATTGATATCTCCGCTCGACATAGCTAATTAGGCTGCTCGTTAATTAGCCTTCCGGTGACGAGAAGAAGGCTCGTCTTGTTCTGTCGTGGCTCCCTTCACCATCTTTGAACCGTGCAGATGTGTAGGAGCCGCCGGGATTATAAACTGCTCGGATGTCCGTGCTAGCTGTGCTAATTGGCATGACGAGGAAGTAAGGTGGTAGCTGTGTGCTGGTATTTATATTTTCTTTGGGGGGGGGGGGGGGCTGCTTTGGCTGCGCGTGGAGCTGTTTTAGCTGTTTACAGGAGAAAATGCGTCAAAGCGCGTGCAGCGGTCAAGTTCGCGTCCGTCAAACGGCTTGTGTTGTTAATGCATGTTAAAAATAAAAAAGCTAATACTCTAGTGCGCATGTGCAGTGCAATCAGTTAGGTGTTCACTCTGTTTTCTATATTTTTTTTACCCCTGTGCTAACGTTGTGCTCCTTTTAGCTGTTTATAGATGGAAACAATTCAGCTCCTAATTTTTGTTTCTTACTTTTATTCCTTCCTTACTATATATTCTGTTTGTTTTCAGATATTTTAAGATCTTAGTTCCTTTTTAAAACATCATTTTATCAGAAATCTGCTTCAGCATTCTTGCTCGTTTAGGTTTTTATTTACGATTGTCTTTCCTCTTTTAGCTTTTGGCTAGCCTTTTGCTACTTGTAGCTGATCTTTTGCTACTTTTGGCTTAGTTACCCATGTGCTTCATTAGTTCCATTTGCTACATTTAGCTAGCCTTTAGCTATATTTTTTTGCTACTTTTAGAGCAGCCCTTTGCTTTTTTGTAATATTTAACTGTGCTAGCTACATTTATGCAACAATTAGCTTACCTTTTGCTATTGGTGGCTAATTTTTGCCAAGTCCTTAGCTATGTTTTGTTAAACATTTGCCATAATTAGGTAGTTTTGCTACTTTTAATGAATTCCTTTGATGTGTTTAGCTACCCTTTTACTAATTTGAGTCACTTTTGCTACTGTTTTTTCTATGTTTAGCTACCCTTGTGTTATTTTATCCATTTTGGCAACTTTTAGAATAGAATAGAATAGAAACGGCCTTTATTGTCCCACAGATGAGAAATTTAAGTGTAACAGCAGCAACAGATAAAAAGATTTCACACAAAAGTTACTAAATGTTAAACAATACAATATATAAGAAATAAGATAAATTTTGCCAAGTCTTACAATGTTTAGCTACATTAAACTAGACATTTGTTACATTCAGTCATGTTTTGCTACCTTTAGCCATGTCTTTTGTTACATTTTACTGACTGTCATGTTTATCTACACTTTTGTTACAATGAACTAGCCTTTTGTTATTTTTAGCCACATTTTCCTAATTTTAGCAAAGTCTTTTGCTATGTTCAGCTAACTTTTTGTTGCATTTAGCTATAGGTGTTGAATTCAGTTACCTTTTGCTACTTTTGGCCAAGTCCATTCCTACTTTAGCTAAACTTTTGCTACATTTAGCAAATTGAGTTTGGTTATTTTGCCTTTTAGCTTGTTTTACATTTTCGTTTTTAGCTAGTGTTGGGTTTCTTCAAGCTTAAGTGACTCTGTTTCAGCTTCTTCTGCAGTTTTTCAGCGTTCAGGCTGCATTTCTCTCTTTAAACCTCACTCAGTTTGAATTCAGAAGCACGAGCTGCTGTTTTTGGAGCCACCCTGGGTTGTTTTTAACTATAAAACAGGCTACAACCTTGAATGCTTTATATTACAAAGGTGGCATTAGAGCAGTTGCATCATTGTGTCATTTGATACGGTCATGGCAGACAAAAAAATGGGAACCTCCCTATGAAGGACCCAGGGGAATACAGCGCCAATCAGAGTTTCACACTGTAACGCAACTGGAAAAGTTGTTAGTGTTAGTTTCACCACTTAACACACAGACCTCTGATTCAGGCGCATAAAAAGTGAACTTAGTCCAGTTTTCTTTTAAGATAAATTTGATTTGTGAACTGATAAAACAAGAACAATTCCAATCAGTGTTTCTTTGTGCTTTAGACAATGTGTTTTTTATTTGAATTGTGATTTTTATTTGTATTTTGAGGCAGGAGTGTTCACCTCAGCTTCTGTTTTTGTCAGGAGGAGTCCGGAGAGACGGTGTGCAGTGAGAGAAATGGGGTGGCGAAGTGGGTGTGCCCCCTGTGCCAAAAAGGGCAACCTGACAGATCTTCCATGTCTCTACACCTCACTGAGCAACACAGCGTACTTCCATCGTGTGTAGGCCGGCTGCTGGACATCGTAAGTCTGGTACGGGAGCGCATTTTGTTTATTTTTAACGCCACTCTTTGCACAACTTTACTGCCTGTGTGTGTGTGTTTCTCTGTGAAATATTAGGATCAAGTGGATGAAACTCTCATAAAGTAATCATTAAATAATATGCATCCCTTCAAGGACTGTAACTTTCTTTAAGCTGGTTTTTGCAGTTTAATAGTTTATTTTAAGTTCTTGTTTTTGAGTCCATCTTAAATCAACTTCTTGGTTTTTTTTTTTTGTTTGTTTTTTTGTAAAAGTACGGCAGCATAAAGAAGTGATGCTTGAACTGCAGGGACTATTTGTTTGTTTGTTACAGAAGTTTTAAAACTCATTATGCAAATCAAAAACAAGAGAACTGCTTTTACAAACGGGAACAAAATGGACGAGCAGAAAAAAACAATTATAACCACATTAGTGTTTATAGAAGATGCATTAAAATGATTTATTTTTAACAAACCTTCTTTAAATCCAACTCTCTTTAACTAAACCAGGTGTAAACTTTGTGTTTCATTAAAATCAGTCATGAGATATTCTGCTAACACAACAAACCTTATTAATCAAAGACGGTTGATGTGCAAATTAAAAAGCTGTCCGTGTTTTCTGCTCGTTGATCGTCCATCCTGGAGGCATGGCGACGTACGTTCGACTACGCGAAGGAACTGTTGGGAATTAAACTGACAACTTTTTAAAATTTTTACAGGCTGTTTTAAAGCAGACCGCCAGAGAAGAGGACTCGGCTGCTCTGGAGTCTGCAGGTGTGTGCAATAAAGCCTTCAAATTTAATTTATGCATCGAAAACTGCATTTTTTTTGGCACTTTAATACTGCTAAAGTTTTGATACAGTGGTTGTGCACAAACTTGTTTTAGCTGTAAAAATGACATAACCTTTATTTTTTTATTATATAAATGATTTGGGGTGCATGTTGTAGAAAAATGAATAATAATTTCAGTATTATTTCAAATTAAATAAACTTTTTTATTTGAAACAGCCAAAGATGGCCAGAATGTTACACAATAAACTCATAAATCACAGCCATGAGAACATTAAAATACGTTTAAACAACTTCATGCCTGAAATGGATTATTCAAAACGCCTAAAGCATCCATTCTAATTGAGTCAAAAGAGAAAACATGCTTGCCAATTTAGGTAGAATTAAATAAAAACATGGAGCAGTTTGCAGCAGATGTAGGTTTAGTACATCTGTAAACTATACAGGTTACACTAAATATGACGATTTGCACTTATTTTCACCAGAAAATTGTTCATTTTGTCTTAAGATCTCAGTTTAAAACTCTAGAATAAAGGGCGGCGGGCGATGTGCATTCTTTCAAAGAACGCTAGGCCTTTCATAACGGGTAGTGTTCAGTCTACAACACCACGAGGGTAAAATGTTTGTTTCCTCACAGATGCTGAATCTTCACAACTGAATCACACTGAAGACCCAACCTCAGACCCCTGCAAGTCCAGCGAGAGTTCAGACTTGGCTCAGACGCTCAGAGACGAAGAGATGGAGGAGGAGAGTGTAATGGAACAGGAGGGAGGTGAAGCCGAGCCCGTCCCCGAAGAGGAGGGAAACCCACACACCGAAGCCAAGCTGCAAAATGCAACCGAGAACACAGAAACGAGCGAAAAGTCTGCCGACAAGAACTGCGCGCCGGCTGAAAATGGCACGCAGTCGTTCAGCTGCAACGCTTGCCAAGAGAGTTTTTCCAGCAGATCCACCTTGAGTGTTCATTATAACTCTGCCTCCCACGTCCAGAGGATGACCTCAGGCTCTGCAAAACACGGTGCAGAAAGCAGTCCCCAGTCTCCCTCTGTTCAGCTCCTGTCTCGGCCGTACGTATCAAGCAAACCCTACCAGTGTGCCGTTTGCCGAGTCTCCTACAATCACGCCATCACCCTCGAGAGCCATATGAAATCAGTTTTACACCAGACTCGCAGCAGAAATGCTGGAATGGCTGTGAAAAGTGCCGCCAATTACAGACGTGGTGCCACCATCGCCCCAAGACCTGCAGCAGCGACTACTGAAACCAGAACGGGGTCGTTGGTTACCCCCAGCAGCTGCACCACATCTGGATCGGTGATGACTGCGGCAAAAGACAAAGAGCAGATCACAACCTCACAAGTGACTCCCCCCCTCCTCACCTCCTCGGTGGCCTCAACTCAGGCAGTCTCAGCCTTTCTCACCCTTTCCCATTCCCTCCTCCCGTCCCTGTTCGCAGCGAGCGCTGCTCCCGGTGCCACCGCGCCTCAGCTCGTGCCTCAGCCTCACATGGTCATGCCCTTGATTTTAAACGGGCTCCAAGCCCAAACTCAGCAGCATCAAGACAACCAGCAAGGCCAGGTCCTCACCCAGTGTTTGCCGTTTGTAGGCCTGAGCCCAGCCCAGCAGGCCCTCCTAACCCAAAGACTTAACAGTTTGCAAAACCAGTGGCCCTCGTCGGTTGTTCCAGCTCACATAAGGACCCCTCAGGAAGAGCAAAAACAAACTCTGAAATGTGAGGGGGAACAAGAGAAGCAGGGCGGCGAGGAGACAAGCTCAGAACAAATCAAGGATATGAATAACTGGACCTCAGAGAAGGAAGAGATGCCTAAAGGAGAAAACTTCAGCAAAGAGAAGGTTGAAATTAATGAAGACGATGAGAAGGATCAAGATGGTGGAACAAGTGAAGGCGTCACTACAAAGCAGCAGGGCCCAGAAGATGATAAAGAAGCTTGTCTGAAACTCTCCCCTCGCAAGAACAGCTCGTCGCCTTCGGCGTCCGTGCCTAGCCACTCCAGCCTCAGTCCTGTCAATTTAGACCTAACCCTCAGCCCCGATTCTACTCCTCAGAAAACTGGCACCAGCCCCAGCGGTTCCCCCAAATCTAGCACAAGTACGAATGCCTTAACTACTAACCAAACCCGTCTCCGCTATAATGCAGTGGGATCTGACTATCCAGACTTCCCGGTGCTGTCGGAGTTCCAGTCGGAGGTTCTCTGGGCGTTCTTGGAGTCTCGTAGTGAGGCAGATGCTGCCAGCCCTGCTTACGAGGACTGCGAAGCTCTGGGTAAGGAGGTGGGTCTTTCAGAGGAGGAGGTGCGCAGGTGGTTAGCTCAGGCCCGGCAAGTCAAGCAGAGACAGCGAGAGTTAAAATCCCTGTCAGAAAGACACATTCATGAGTCCGATGATGACTATGATGATGAGGAAAGTTCACTGATTATAGCTGAAGGTGATGATGATGAGGCTGAGGCTTCGGGTAGTCAGGTGATAGACTTGTCCTGCGCAAAAGGAAAACGCAAACGAAGAGCTGCAGGGAAAGGAGGTCTTGGAGAGTCTGTTCTCACGTCAGACTCAGAAAACGAAGTGTATACTTCCATCATTGTTTCCGATGAGGAGAGTCGGAATAAGTCGTTCCGGGAGAGCCCCCAAAGTCCGGCTAAAGATGAAGTGCAGCAGGAGGTTCATGGAGACAAGGGCTCAGCTGGAGGAAAGGTTTTACGCTCCACAACAGTGTTCCTCTCAGACGCAGAGGAAGAGTACGAAGATGACGAGAGCGGAGGAGGACAGCGGGCTAAAAGGAAAAAACGGAAGGGAGATTTTGAGCGTGACGAGGTCAATGTGAAGAAGGAAAGACAGGACCCGGATGTGGATCTAGAGCTGGAGGCTCAGGGGGACCCTCCAAGTTCACAGAGCTACATGATGGACCACACAGAGATTCCAGCTGGTGCTCTACACTCTCTTCCTCTGTCCCTCGCTCCCTTTTCCCCCCATTTTCTCAGCCCTTATGTTCTGTCCCTCACTCCTTCAGTGATGGGAGATGGGAGCAAAATCTCGGTCTTTCCCAACGCTCCTACTATTGCGCGCTTCTCAAACTCGCTGCTCTCGCAGTCTCTGTCAACTTCTCACTACCTGTTCAACGGCGATGACTGCGAGGCTGCTCTAGACCTCAGCATGGGGAAAAACTCCAAAACGTCATCGTCTTCCTCCTCCCCGTCTCTCGCCGATAAGATCGCCGTACAAAAAGGGCAGCTGCTGGACGGACTTGGCCTGCGACCAACATCCAAGGGTTTGGTGGTTGTCCAGGTCAAACCAGAGCCCCCATCCAACAGCCCTCTGAGTCTGGTCAACTGCAGAAACATGACAAACTCTAACGTTTTTGCCAGCGCACAAGACAAAATGAGTGGCACGCCATTCGAGAAGGAGCGGGAGCAGCAGCAGAGGAAGTCCAAAGGAAAACGGTACATGCGAGACATGCGTCGCTCGAGGACCATCATTCAAGCAGAGCAGCTTGATGTTCTGTATGGTTGCTACTTTAAAGACCCAAATCCCGGCAAACACGAGTTTGAGCAGATATCCGAGTGGGTCCACCTCCCAAAAAAGGTTGTCCAGATCTGGTTCCAAAACATGAGGGCGAGGGAGAGGAAAGGCGAGGTCCGATTCATCAGTGATGGGACTCTGGCGGCGGTTGGCAAACCCCTCATCAAGTTCACTTGGCCCCTTTCCAAGCCCATATTCTCCAACAAGCCTGCTCAGAACAGCCCCGGGGCCGTCACATCTGCACCGATCGTACGTACCCTCATGAAGACGACCCAGGAGCCTGAGAAGGAGCTGAGTAAACCGGTCATGCTGAAAAAGATCACTCCTGTTCCCATCAAGCCCAAAGAGGTGGTTTCCTGTACCACGGTATCTCCAGTGAGCAGCACTGCTTCTGCGGTGCCAAAGACCAAGCTTGAACCTTCCAGCAATGTTTCGATGGTGAAAGTTGCCCCCATCGTCAATACCCCTGTACTTTTGGCACCCCCAAAGGATCCGATCCCAGTCACCCCACGAATGGCTCAGAAGCAGACAGAAGAGGAGAGTGAGGATGAAAAGACTGATGAGGACAAGGATGATGAAAACGAAATGGCGTCCAGACCTGGAATGGTGAATCGGATGGTGCCGAAGCTCCCCACAACTCCAATCAACAACCGGCTCTCTGCCACAACCGTGGTGCCCCAAAAACAGAACGGGCTCAACTACTGGACCCCTAAAGCTCCCATAAAAATCAACACCTTATCAAGAGAACAGCTGGCTCTCCCAGCGCACACGACACCCCGCACCATCCCGCCCCCTCCCACCCCCAGCATTGCACCGGTCAGTCCAAATACTCCCGGCTCTGCAAAGCCGGCCTGCCCGAGCACCCCGGTTATGCCCAAACCCCGTTCGACGGAAAGCAGCTTCTTGTCGAACTCATCCAGTCGCCGGCCGCGCACTCACCTGTCCTGCCTGCAGCTGTCCATCCTGCAGTCTTGCTACGAGACCTGCGCCCACCCCAACGCCTTGGAGTGTGAGGCCATCGGCAATGAGCTCAACCTGCCGCTGAAGGTGGTGCAGATCTGGTTCCAGAACACCAGGGCCAAGGAGAAACGCTGGAGACTTCAGCAGGAGAAAATGGTAGGTTGGCAACTAGGCAAAATTATCCATCAGGATAACTTCATCCTTTTACTCCACAGCTCCATGAATATCATCTGTACATTGATGAAAATAAGTTTTAGATGTTTGTGAAAATAAATTTTGCGTTTGATACCATACTTGTCTTTTCTGATTGTGGTTTTGTCTCTTGTCCTCCTGCAGTCTCCTCTGTTGGGAGGGAAGGTGGACACCAGCTCAGGAAGCTACCTTCAGTACAGCGCTCTCAAAGCCAATCGACCCATCCTGCCCAAGCCCGTTCAGCTAACGATCACTGACCCTCCGGCCTCTCCAACGCCGGGCCAATCGGTGCAGAAGGAGACCCTGACGGGCCACTGCGACGCCTGCAACGTCTCGTTCGAGTCGCGGGCCGCCGCCAGAGCCCACGTCTTCTCCCCTCGCCACTTGGCCACCCTGAGAACCACTAACTTTGGGCAGCCTATGTCCCTCACCAACAAGAACGGCTCGCAGGCGTCTCTTCCTGCCGCCGGAGCCAGCTCCGAGGGGGAGGTCGTTGTCGAGCTGCCTCCCTCCACGGCCACCAGCAAAAGTTAGACTCGGATCATGAATGGTCTGCACATTGACACTTGTTGGACCCGTTTGGGCTCCGCAAATTTTAATGAACACATTTGAGCACTAACCCTCTAAAAGGTAATAATCTTTGCTATGATGTTGGCTCCTCCCACTACCATGTGCTCCACCCTCACCTGCCTTGATATCTAATTATCTAGAGATTTCACCTGGAATCAAATACACGAGCAGACTCTTTTCACGCTGCTTGTCACTTACCAAGCGATGAAAGATCCCCCTCGACCCATTTTATCCCAGCGTTTTTGGTCTTGACCCTGTGGCTATGTATGAACTAACTTCCTATAATTTGTACAAGTTGCTGTGCTTGAGCTGAGGAAGACTGATGCAAGTGTTTCCTTTTTGGAAACATTTTATTTTTTTGTTCTTTGGGATAATACCATGAAATACTCGTAGATAACTCGTTTTCCCGCTGAACTGTTTTTTTTTTTTTTTTTTTTTTCTAGGGCAAAAATTGCTTGAAATCTAATAACTGGACTGAACTATGGGGAGAGGAAAAGCCTGCGTTAGCTGTTAGGTAATTAAAAAAAAAAAAACTTTCAGTTTTGGGTTTGCTGCAGAAGTGTGTGATCTGAAGCGTGTCTTTTCATTTTGGGATATAAAAGAGGTACTATAGAGAGAATAGGGCTGTTGAATTGTCCACATTTACATAGTTTCATGACAATCTAAAAGACAAAAAAAAAACGCGCTAAAAGGGTTTTAGTAAAGTAGAATTTTTGGCATACCGCACTTTGACATTTTACATTGTTTGAGATGTTTTTAAGCATTCTTATGCAGGTGTCTTTTTATGGAAAGATGCACTAACGCATGTTGGATGTCTTAATATGAACCACGTGAAATAAATTTGAGTGCTTTAGGCGCGAGCGAGCTATACAAGAATTTGACCTGAGTGTATAATCGAAGAGCTTTCCCCCCCTAGATTGCATACATTTACGGGGTTTATATCTCTGAATGTCTTATAACTTTAAAAAATCTGCCTGTAAAAATTGCCAGCATTCTCTAAGGCCAAGGACTATAAACTATTCTGATTTTACTTTCAATTTCTCTTCTCCCAAATGTACGTCTGTTAGGAATGTGGCTCTTCGGATAAATAATTTTACACCTCCCTGCCTCGTCGGTTTGTTTGGAAATAAGACGGTCTTAAGAGGGGACACCCTCATGTATTTGTAAATTAAATCGATTTTAGCACTGAAGGTCAAACAAATAGTTTTATTTACGAGCGTTTATATTAGAACTACAACCGTCTGGCTTAACAGGGTTTTTATTTAGGTCGAAAGCTGATTCTTAACCATTTTGTTCCCCCCGTTTTTTAATTTAAATGATGTGATTCCGGTCGTGTATGTGCTGTGAAACGAGAGCTGGAAACCACGACGAGGGAGACAGTTGGGAATTACCAGTATCCACTAGAGACTACTCAAATCTAGGAAGTAAATTTAGGAAAATGAGAGCTAATAAGATGGTGCTGTGTTGAAGGACGCATAACAAACTAAAGATGTTTTCCTTCGGTTTAAGTTGTATATTAATAATACTATTAATAGTTTTAATGAAATGCAAATCTAAAACTTTTGTAAAGAATTATATTAAAAGAATAACTGATATTCCAAAGTAATCCGCCCTTCGCTTTCTGTCATTTAAAAAAAATAAAAATACCAAAAAGCAATCTTTAGGTCGACAGAGAGCAGGAGAGGCGACGATGCAAACTGTAAAGGACGTCCCACGACTTTGACTCTTGCACTAGTCCACAAAGTGTTTTGCACGAGCTACAGGCGCAAACGTCACAGCTGATTTCGGTTTGAAAATGGTCCTTTTTCAAGTAATTTGTTGGGAACTGTATCTTGTGTAAAGCGAGGACTAGTGCGCTCAAATCTGGGATTATTACACACACTTACACACACAGACACGGTGTTGCACTGTCCAAACTAGACATGTTTTTATGGAGATCTGCTTTTTATTCCTGTTTGTTTCATTGTCACTTTGATTATCACTATTGTTATAACTGTACTACTACTTATACGATTTATTATTGCTACTCCTCACTGTTTTTTGATTATTATTGGTTTTAAATGCCACCTCTGTGCTCCAAAAAGAGTATGGTATTCCTCTTAATATTGAACAATAATAGTGGCAGTGTTGTTACAAATTGTTAGATCTATGATTAAGCTTTTTATTTTATTTTGTTTCCCACTTTTCTTCTCCCCACTTGTACCCGCCTTTGTGTTTGGTCTCCATTAATGCTTTCTTTGATATACAAAAAAAGAAATAAAAACCAGTTGAACAACAAATCGGATCTGATTGCGGTAAATCCGGGGCATTCGTATTGTCATTTCAGTTTGTAAGGTGATGTTTTACTTGTGTAAACGGGTTACTAAATATAACTATATGACCCTTGGCAAACAAAAAGGGACTAAGTCAGTTTTGCATATATTGTGCTAAAATTTGGTGTGGTAGTTGCTGAGAGTCTTGGACATTTACTGACATGAGAATGCACATATTTTTTAAGGTTTTCAAAGAAACCACTAAAACTAGGTGAAAACTTTCTTATAGCTTTAGAACGTATATTGGATGTAATGCGATATGTAACGTTTAACCGTCTTTGATATTTATAGATATAAAAAGAAATGACATGTTAAAATGACCTTTGTGATAAGGTCAACTGGTGTAGGCAGATAAAATGTGGTTGTATTTCGCTTACCAGTCTACGTGTGTGCAACTTCTGATATGACTGACAGAGACGTCATCCAATCAAATGCACACGTTTTGATTCACGAACCGGAATGTCCTGCTAGATTGTCCAATAGGAACACGGTAAGCGCAGAAAAGGTTGGTCTAAAGTCATCCACCGACCAATGGGATTGAAGGTTTTACGCCCGCAGTGGTAGTTGACTCCGCCCCCTAGCTTCCATTTCTTGAACTGAAGCGACGCTACGGGTCTCGTGTACGGTTATCGTCTTTTTTTTTTTAACATACACGTTTAAGTAAATAAACTCGCTTTTCACGAGGACACTTTTTTTTTAAATAGTGAATGAAAAACAGTTCGTCGTTCGGTTCTGTTTGAGTTGTGGCTGAAGCTAGTATTTTTGTTTCCCATTTTAACTTTACTGAGCGGCGTTTTCCGCCGTTTTTTTTTTTTTCCTCGCCGCCCCCCTTGAGTGTGAGTGAGTAGGGGCCTGCGACGTTGGTTTAGCCACGAGGCTCGTTGGTTCTGTTGGAGCATAGCGATGGCGGAGTTCGGTAACGGACTGGCGGATGAGTCTCTACTAGATTCGGACCACGGACATCCCGAGTTAGAAGACCCGGGTGTAGGAGACGAAGAACCGGGGTTAGAAGAGGGAGAGGCCGCAATTGAAGACCCGGTAAGTGAAGGGTATTGTTCCTGAAGACCCAACGTGGACGTTAAAGATTTGATCCAGCTATGTCTTAATAGTAAATTAAATCAGACCAGCAGTTTCTTTGTTTTTTTTCTACGTTAAAATTGTGGGTCACGTGTATGCGCTTCTGCTATCGCCGCTTTGGTTATAGCCGCCATTGTGGCGCACGCAGTGCAGCAGATTTGGGTGGCGACTCGCGCGGTGTCGGCAGCCATCTTGGCGCAACAGCGACGCCAGTTTCTCTGCGCCAGAGAGCAGCAGCCCGAGTGGTTGGGGGTGGGGGGAAATTCTGGTCGAAAGAAGAAGGTGGGGGGGAAATATGTGAGACGGAGATGTGGGAGACCGCTGGGGCGAGCGCTGGACAGGCCGCCGCCATTAACCGCCGTCGTGGACGCCTACTCCGTTAAGAAGGCTACCTACTAACGGTAAAAAGAACCATCTTTTGTTTCCCTTTCATTCATCTGGCTGCTGAAGCTCGCGCGCGATCGACCAGCTAGCTAAGCGGCTGCGGGGCTAGCAGTTAGCATTCAAGCGCTGCAGCTAAAAAATGACCAGATAAGACCGCGGCGTCGCCCAAGGTTGCGTTGCAGAACGATTATCTATAAAAATTATATTTATTGTGGGACATTATAAATACAGTAGGCGGATGATGCTAACATCCATGCACCTGACGACCTTATTGTTAATTTTTGAACGACGTGCAGTCAGACGAACATGCAGTTTAATTTATGCGGGTAGTGTCCAGACTGAGCGCCCAGGTGGGGTTTGCAGGTTTTTGGGTGGTGGTGGTTTGTAACGCAGAAGAGAACGGGGGGGTTGCGGTATTTAAGGGGTTGGGTTTGCATCCCTACCGTTTCGCTGGATTGAGGAGGGGGATCTGCGACAAAAAGATTTGGTTTCAGACAGTGCTTTGAATGACACGTTTTACCTTGAGATATGTCGTTTATTTGCTGGCGTCTTGATTCAAAGGACAGAAATGTTATGGGCTATATCTCTGTACCCACTTCTTGTTTTCCCACCCTGTGGTCTGATTTTCATTTGGTCCAATTTGACATAACAAACCCTTTCAGCTCCGGGATCTGACTCCTACTGTGCTGCAGTGCACCACTGAGGCTCCTGATTCAGGGCACAGCCATGTCACTGTTCATATGAAATGTATAAAAAAAAGAAACGCATCAAAGTCGAGTCTTCAGACCTCACTTCGTGGCTGCAAACGTTGGTCAGGCTTCTCGTTTGAATGGCTTTAAATCCTGTCCAGGTTTCATTTTAAGCTAAAACCTTAACATTCGTCTCATTTTAAGATTAATAAACCTTACAGCTTGAAAGATTTGTTAGTGAGCAAAATCCAATTGTTAAATTATAGGAAAGATGCTAAACGCCCGCCGTCATACTGAGGATCCTCTGCTGCCACAACACTGACTTTTAGCTCTATTAACTGTAAAATGAATCAGTTACATAAATCCATTAATCATTTGTACCTGCTGCTTCCTTTCCGGGTCACAGGGGTCACTGGTGGCCATGTCCAGCTATCACTGTGGCGGGGTACTACCCGGACAGGTCGGAGGTCCATGACAGGGACATATAAGCCACTTTGCCATTGATAAGTGCAACTCCTCGTGGTTCTCGTCTTATCAGTTCTTCTCAGGCTTTAGTGAATTGCCACCAACTTATTTTTCTATTCTGTGGGCGGGATGGTCAATGCAAAGTGGGCAGTTTCTTAAAGCGCTGTCCAGCTTGTGCTGAATCCTCTGATCCTCCAAAAAAGAGCGCAAGGTCTGGACCTTGTCATTGGTCCACGTCAGTTTTTGGAACTCCCATGCTGAACTAGAAACTTGAGAAGGCAAACTAACCCAGTCTACAACAATTGGAGAGGAAATGGCAGTTCAGATATAGTGCTTGCATGCCCCTTCAGATGTTTACCTGACCTACTTGTTTACTGACGTTTTTATAAAATCTGTAGTACTCACACAGTACGGGGAACTGGAGAAGGACAACGGGCGACCTTACTGACCAGCTCTTTGAGTCTGAAAATAATTTTGAAGTTGAGTTTTTGAAAATTCTCTGTACGTCCATAGTCATGAAAAATGTGTTAAAGGAATCTGTATCATTTACAGAAAATCTGTAAGACTTGTATGCGCTGGGTGGGTCATCCAGAGTACCTAGACAAACCCACGCATGCACGGAGAGAACATGCAAACTCCACTCAAGGTTCCCGGCCAGAATTTGATTCGGCAACTGTCTTGCTTATCGGTGGCAGCTCTATCAACTGAGCCACTCGGATTATTTAAAATTGGAGATGTTTTGCTAACAGAGTTGACTCCAAACATTTAATGGCAACATTTTAAACATCTTGCTTGATCTGCTCACACCCAAAAGATGTGATGATCACTGTAGGCAAGCAGATTTAGTAAAATATCTCTGTTTTTCAGGAGCTGGAGGCAATCAAAGCCCGGGTCCGAGAAATGGAGGAAGAGGCAGAAAAGTTGAAGGAGCTACAGAACGAGGTGGAGAAACAGATGAATCTCAGCCCCCCACCAGGTATGATTTATTTTATGTTTGATTAACTTTATATCTTGTTTAGTGTCAAATTGTTCAGCACAGAAAGGACAAAACAGCAACTTGTAGAATATGCGCTACACTGAAGAAAAGAATTGTTTAAATTACCGTCCCAACTTTATTTTTGACACCCGTTACCTTCCCCAGTGGGCCACAAAGTCATTGACAGTTAAGTTATTTCAAGCATCTAAAGTGGAAGAGTTCATCAGCAAACTTCCCTGTTTGCTCAAAGGAAGGCTCAACGTTAAAACAACTCTTGGCTGTGACAGAAATGTTTGTACCAATCTTAGATAACTTTGCAACTAAAGACTTCATGGCTGCAGTACAAGACACACACACACACCAGTCGTGACCATGAAGTGCACAAGACTTTGACTTTCAGCATGCCAGGAGGAATGCTGATTGTTCAGCAGCCTGAAACAGATTTATGGTGTTAAGTGACGAGAACTTGAAACGTCCGGCCATATGCATCAACAGTTTGTCTTCAGAGTGGAGGTGTTATCAGGCTGCCAATTTTAGCTGTTATACAGAATTAACGTGTTTCTTCCACAACTATCAACTATTTAGATTTTTGTTTTTCAGAAAGTCCATTTTCTTAGAGCTGACTTGAGCTTTTTTTTTTTATTTTTAATTAAGCCCGTCTTTGAATTAAGAAGTTTTTTTTAATTGAAATGCCACAGTGAGATCAGAACGAGCAACTTCTCAAGTCCCAACGACGTCATGAAACTTACATTTTTACATATCTCCAAGATGTTTTTGTGTTTTAACTCTTTAGGGTTAGGTCAAATTTTTCCAAGTTTTTTTATTGTTGTGTATTATTTTTTAAAATTTAATTAAAATTTTACAATTGCTTGTTTTTAAGTATTTTGTGGTAATTCATTTAACTTAAAGTTTGTTTTAAAGGTGTTGCATAATTATAACTTGTATCATTTTAACAGCGTTTGAATGCGAGCCGACAAACTGACCAACTGCACTTTGTGTCTCAACCTTATACACAGATGAAGAATTATTATAATTTTGAATTATTATAATTTTATACTATAAAAAATGTTTGTCTCCTGTGTTGCAGTTGGTCCGGTCATCATGTCCATCGAGGAGAAGATGGAAGCAGATGGCAGATCTATTTATGTCGGCAATGTGAGTAACACAGTATCACTCAGATTATTCTTGTGTTTTAATCACTCCAGGGCTTTTTTATTTTTACTTTTGATGAAAATAAATCCTGTGCATCAGATTTAAAATCTTTTTAGCATCATTTTTACTTTTGGTTTCCTGGTGTACTGTTGAAAGGGTCCAGAGTGCAGCGTTTGCTAATGTTCTAGAAAGAAAGAGTTAACTGTTGGTGTTAAAATGATTTAGTCACAAATTTTAACAAAACTTTTTTTTTATGCATGTCTAGTTTGACTCTTTACTTCCATTTATTAAGTTAAAAGAGTTAAGGTTATTTAATTTGTGTCTCAGGTGGACTACGGCGCCACGGCGGAGGAGCTCGAGGCTCATTTTCACGGCTGCGGTTCAGTAAATAGAGTCACCATCTTGTGTGACAAATACACGGGGCATCCCAAAGGGTAATAAACAGTTTCTCTTTATGCAACATAGAAATAATTTAAAAAATCAGTGTGCAGGCATAATGAACATTAAAGAAAATGTTTTGTCAAAATGTGTCAGTTTAGAATAAAAGACGATCATAAATCCATCCAGTTGTTGACAAACTGAGTTGTTGTATCTAAAAAGCACATTTATTATTATTTTCTTAATTTTCCTGCAGGTTTGCTTATATTGAGTTCGCAGACAAAGAGTCTGTTCGAACGGCCATGGCTTTGGATGAGTCCCTGTTCAGAGGAAGACAGATTAAGGTAAGAAATCCTCAAATTACAGCTTTAAAATGGAGTTCAGATCAGTTTTACAGTAAGACCACAGAGTTCATCCGTCATTCTGTCAACAAGAAAAACACCTTGTTCAGGAAAAACAAAGAGTAATGTGCTTTTATTTAATGGGAGGAAGAAACAAAAACTAAACCCTTGTCCTGGTTGAAGGATTTATAAAATTATCTTCACAAAAATAAAATGACAGAAGTTCAGCAGGATACATGGACAGATTCTGTTTGAAGAAGAGGAGCAAGAAATTTTGTTAATGTTTAAGTCGATCTGTGAATCACTTTTTATTAATAACAAAGTTAACACATTTCTGTACTACAAAAAACAAAATCAAGTAGAAAAATTAACATTTTCTGTAAGAGCACCAGTAAAATTTATTGGAGAAACTTAAACCTTTTTGTAAAAAGCTAAAAACGGTTGAAACGCAAACTTAAATAAATCGAACACGAGTTCAAATGAGCAGAACGCAAGCTCAATTCTGAACAATGAAAAGCCAAAATCAGAGGCTCGAAAGCTAAAACCAGCAAAACTTCAGCTAAAAAGAAACCATCTAAAAGGCCCAATTAATAAACCTGCAGCTAAAGACTTAGATTGTTGGGAAAATCTCATTTTAGCTGATCTTTTCCTGACTTTCACCAAATCATAGCAAAAAGCTATAATAGTATTAAAACTAAAATCAGTGTAACTGCAGCCGAAGTGGCTAAAAATAACAACTCTTAATTAAAAGAGGACGTTAACACAACAGATTGATATTTAAATAAATTACAGACAGTAGGGAGAAAGGAGTTGGATTATAAAATAAAAACCTGTAGATCCCATCTGCAGACTAAAATATGTGATAGAAAGTTTGTCTGTCATAATTAATGTTTTGGGGGTGAAAAGTTTGATGAAACGCAGCTTAGTTAAACACGTCAGGTGAGTTTTTATTCATCTCACCGCTTCCTGTCCTCAGGTGGGAGCCAAGAGAACAAACAGACCGGGCATCAGCACCACAGATCGCGGTTTTCCACGGGGTCGGTTCCGATCACGGGGAGGAAGCTTCTCCTCGCGAGCGCGCTACTACAGCGGCTACACGCCACCCCGAGGCAGAGGGCGGGCCTTCAGGTGAGCTGTCGCCGAGGCATCTTGACCTCAGAGCCTGGGGGAACCTGTCACCTGCATGAACTGCATCCCATCCATGGTTTGTCCTGAACGGGGACGGCACGGGACAAATACGACAGAACAGTTAGCTTTAGAGACGCTTGTTTTGTGGGACTTATGAATAAAAACTTCATAGAATGAGCGAGAGCTTATTAATCTCAGAATGTTTAGCATATCGGGGTGGAACGAGTCATTTAAACGAACTGAACCTTCTGGACATGTGCCAGCAACCAGATCACCACGAGAATAACGTTTTACAATGAACGGGAGACAAATCCAAAATTAAAGTTTTATCACTAAACTCAAAACTTAGAGCAGAAGAATTTCTATACTTTGGTAAAGATAATGGAAGGCTGGATGTAATACCATCCAGCCTTCCATTATCTTTACTTGTGATTTATCTGTATTGCTGTCTTTGAACAGGAAGGGGACACGTTTGTTTAGGTGATAATTTACTGATTAACCTGGTTTAGGCTCGTAATAAAGGCTGAACCTGTAGTGGGAAAAGATGTGTACAGTTATGGCGACTGTACTCTCCGTCTCCAAAGCTTGAAAATGATGTGTAGTAATTAATATTTTCACATCTTAATTTTTGCGCAGCGGCTTCACTTGCCAACACAGGTTACGCACTTTGTATAAATTTACTTTACTCCCTCTCATATAAAACACGTCTGGGTCAGAGCTGTAGGAGACATTTTTTCAGTTTTTGTTGGAACAAAATTAAATTTCTTTTTAATACATCCCATAAGATCAGTCTGTTTTGAACGTTTACTGATGATCTTTCAGGGACAGCAACTCTAGTTTAGTTAGACTGGTTTTATTTAGCTAATATATAATAATAATAATATATCAGCCACTTTTTAAAAAATCGACAGTCGTATTAGCACGTATTTAAGTATTACTACAGTTGCCCACATATATTATATCCAAATGTACAAACGCTTCTAATGATTGTTCAACACAGTTATTTAAATTACCGTAAAACTCGGGCTGTAGAACGCACCTGTCTCTAAGCCGCACATACTAAATTTAAGATGAATCAAAATGTTGTAGATAAATAAGATGCTCCGGTTATTAAGCCACCGACATCCACCGTTCGTAGTCAGGACCAGCTCCGACATAATGTGCAGCTTTCTTGTTGTATTACAAGAATGGTGTTTCAAAGACTATAGTTTACTTTCAACCGTTTCAGACTGCACGATCGTCAGAAGTAGGGTGCACCGATAAATCGGCCCCGATTTCCTTAATTTTGGGAAATCGGAATCGGCCGATACTTGCGTGAGTTACCAATTTTATTTTTTATTTTTAACAACAATTGTCTGAACTTCATTTATATTTCAGAGCAACTACCTCATGGCCAGTTAAAACAAGTTTATATTGTTTCTAGGATATTGTTCAAGGGTATGTTTTTCAATAAAATAATAACTGGAAAATTGAAGGTGCACTGTGACCTTGTAACACCTGACAGTGTCTCTTATAAAACGAAATCGAAATCGGCAGGTCAGACTTTTTAGAAATGGGTGATCGGCCAGAAAACTGCAATCGTTGCACCCGTAGTCAGAAGTCTCCATGATGCTTCGCTGTCTGACTCATGGTTAGACCAACCAGCAGAATGAACAGGAACTATCTTAAGCATAATCACTGGACAGAACAGTGCCAAACACCCACGTAACCGAAATTATTTAAACATTATATACCTGTCAATTTTACCCAGAATTCTTATTGAGGTCATGTGACTGGAAGTCTAATAGTACCTGTACAATACGATAAATGTTCATTAAATCAGTACCATTTATTTCTATTAACACTTGGTAACAGCTGCTGTTTTTAAATATACTTTCAAAATAAATTTGACGTGATTTCTCCTCAGCACTTCTCGTATGAGGAGGGAGGAGAAACGGCTTCCCACCTCCTGTTGTCTCCTCCGCTCCGTTTCATGCGCCCATTTAAGCTTAAATGAGATACTAGTATTTAAACACCTTTACCGTACACAGAAAGTTTTTTTTTTAAAACTTTATTTAAATATGTACCAGTCTTAACTAACCGCTTTAAAAATAAATCTGACGACTTCTCTGCTGAGCTCTGATGGTGGAAAGGGGAGTGGGAAGACCTCCTCCCGTTCGTCGTCTCCGCTCCGTGTTCAGTTTAGAGTTTAAAATGAGATCCCGGTGTTTAAATATTTACCGACACAGAAAGATGTCGCACAAAAACAATTAAAAATGTTTCTTTAAAACCTGTACCAGACTTAAACTGCTTTGTCTCCAGTGCCCGACCATCGACACGTTGATGCACAACTTACGGGTTGCAGCTGTTTCCTCCTTCGACGGTCGATCGCTTTTAACTTGAAAGCTGTCGTAAGAAATTCTCCGTGCGTTTTCTGTTATCGCTGAACAGGTCTGTGCATGAAGCGCAAAGCACTGTAATGATCTGAATAAATTAATTCACGTCTATCTTCTGGGGGGTGAGTCCTCAAGAGTAGCTCGCTGGTCATTCAGGTTAGACTTCTGGTCACATGACAAAGTGGGTGGAGTTATGTTAGGAAATTTTAAAACCTGAGCGAAAGGCTTGGTACGTGTGGATACCTGAGGGCGTTCACTGTGTAACAGAAGTCGGACGGACGCTGGGCGGCCATGAGCACCCAGCTCGGTCAAAGGAAAATGTTAGTCAGCGGCAGGAAGTTACCAAGAGACAACAGGAAGTCTGTCAAAATAAAATATAAAGTATTAAATACATAAATTAGCTGCTCCTGCTTATAAACCTTGGAGTACAAATTGTGAGACAAAGGTAGCTGCGTATACTCCAGCAGTTATGGTAAGCATGATTTGTTCTGTTACATAAAAATAACCCAGTAACGTCTCATTCACCCAGTTTACGGGTTCTCCAGTTTTTACGTGTCTGCGTGACATGTCCATGAAACTGAGATTTTAAAAAGTGTTATCTGTTGCTGATGCGTGTTACTTCCTGTGTTCACAGAATTAAAAATAGAGATGTGTATAAAACCGACCCGTTCCACCCCCATACGTGTATATATCTAACAGGTGGTGCAAATTTATAGATTATAATCTGGTGATGTAGTGTTTGTTGGTTAGTTTCCATCAAGACGATTATTGTTTTAGAGACAAGCGGATGAATTAAAGGTGGTTCATTCAGGTTTGAACTCAGTCTGTCCTGCTCTGTGTGACACGGAGCTTCGTTTGGGTCGGTTCACTGCAGCTGAGCGACCACAGAGAGGAGCTTTACGAGACCAAGTTACGCTGCATCGTGTATCGTGTGCAGAGAACGTGCTTTTTGTTTCTTTTTACAACTCCACATGCAGATAATTTGGTAGTGTTGAGTCTGTTTCCAGTTGCTCTTGTCGTGAGATGGGGGTTTTGAAATAAAATGTTTAGATTGTGCGATTTAACGCTTTGCTTTTGTGATTTGTTTGAATGTAGTTGTTTCATTAAGTGTTTTGCTGCAAAACAAACGCACTAAAAAAGTGTCAACAGCAGTCCAGGCGCCATTTTCTGCCTGTTAGTTTTGACGTTTTTTTATGAACATTTGTGCCACGACTCGACCATTTTCAGCCAAACTTTCTGTATACAAACTCATTAAAGGGTTATTTCATATTTTTTTATTTTAAGTGTGAGAAATTGTCTGAACCTCAAGGTCTCAACCTCCAACTGTCCACTCCCACACATACCAAGAAACCCAACCCCTGCCAGCTCCCTCACTGGGATCTGACCCACATGGCAGGACAAGGCACACTGAACGATTATAACAGTTTATAATCAAGAAAAATTATTTAGAACCTCATTTCATTTCACATCATGTCATCCAACAGCATCATTTAGTGTAATCGTCTCCTCTGGTTGTTGGGTCGGGAATTTATCACTAGTTCATTCAACAGAACTGGGCCAAGGTCAGAACCATATGGGAACGTTTCACCGGTGCCTTGTCTTGTTAAACCTTCACAGCAAAATCTTCGGCTGACCTTTAATCAAACTTGGGAAGGCTTCTTGGTTCTTGGCTGCGGACTCTTGGTTTAAATGAGAGCGGAGCTTTCGATTCACTTCATTTCTCAGAAAGTTCAGCTTTAAAAAATGTTTCTGCTCAGCTGTTTGGTGTCGAAGCAGCCAAAGAGTGGCGCCGCTTGAATGCCTGCATGATTACAGTGGAATGATTAACATCTGACGTTAAATTATCTCAGTTGAAAGAAGTCGTTTAACCCTCCTGCTGCCCTGGACTCAAAATGACCCACGAGGCCTTGGCTTGAAGAGGGTCTTTTTGACCCCAGGGCAGCAGGGGGGTCAACCCTGAGTCAACTGACAAGCTAACGGCTATTTGGAGTGGGAACAAACACCGACGTGGATTGCTGCTGTCTTAAATAACTGAAACCTCAAAAACTTCTGTTGGACCTAAAACTATTTCATAAACTTCATCAGTTTTGGACTTTTTCAAGCTAGCTGTTGCACTTCCTGCCTGAATGTTCTGACAGGTATTTGTGGTTCTATGTCTTGTCCAAGCTCCAAAATTCACAGTTGAAACCCGTGCCTTCATGTAAAAAGTTTTTCTCTGCAAAAAGAAGCTGAGAACTTGTTTACTGATTTAAAAATATATATATATTTAAAAGCTTTGTGTGAAAAATGCTATGCTAAAGAGCTCGAACCACACAGAGCGTCCGCCATTTTGAGAACTGAAGAGAGACAACCCATGTCAAGTCAAGGGCCCTCCCTCCCATTTTGCTTAGATCCATCCTTTTGTTCGGTCTTATACTGCCATCAGGTGGTCAACAAAGGTACTACACACAAAACAAATAAACATTTGTTCTAAACTTTGACAATCGATTATTGTTAAATTTCAAACAATATTATAATTTATCGCAATAATTCCTGAGACAATGAATCGCTCAGCAAAATTTGTTCTCGTGACAGGCCTAGCCGTGATCTCTGAATTTGGAGGGTTTGCAACCGATGATGAAAGAGCCGCCTTCTAACAGCCAGCTTTTTAAAATCACTCGTTTCTGTGTGCGTAGATCCCAAAACCGTTTTCTTGGTCGTTCACATCGTTGTGTTTTCAGGCGGGTTCGAAACGCTCACGATGACTCTGGGGCAACTTTGAGAGAGAAACCGATTGCTGCACAAGTCTTCCCCCCCCCCCCCCCCTAGTTGAAAACTCGAGCAGCAATGTCGTTCCCCAACCAGCAAGATGCGATGGTTTATAAAAGGATTAAATGAACCGCTGATTCGTTTAAGATGGCAGCAAACCTTTTTAAAGATGCGTCTTACCTTCCCAAGTTGGTGCCAAACTAAGGCCAGGATTTAGATTTTGGTGTTTCTTCCTGTTTTCTGTTTGTGTGGATCTGTTGTGTCGTGCCTTTCAAGTCCAGTTCCAGCTTTTCACTCCCAGAAACGAGGGTTCATTCCTGCAGCCTGAACCACTGGACCTCCTGTCTCAGTGTGACAAACCTAAGTGTTTTTTTGTGTGTGTGTGTCTCGTGTTTGAGAAGCTGGAGTGTTGGTGCTGCTGAATGAATGAGTGCTGTTTGTCCTCAAGGTCCCCCCCCTCCCCCACAGTGACCCTGGAGGCGTCTCTCACAGAGAGACGGAGAGAGAGAAAGAGGGAGAGTGCCTTCACACACACCCCAACACTGATTTCTGCTAATTAACCCCCCCCCCCCCCTCTGAAAAAGCTGCTTTCAGCTGTTTCTTCCTTGTCGATCGTCTTCCAGTTTCAGTCGTTTGTGAAAAACTGTTTATTTTTATTCTCCCGTTAATTCTCTGCCCTCAATATTTATAATCACACACCAGGAAATTGGTCTTTTTTTAATCCAAACGGAAAAAAAACTCACCCTCTTTTTCTCTCTCTTTTCCAGGGGCCGAGGGCGAACAACATCGTGGTATTCCCCTTACTAAACCCCCCCCCCCCCCCCCAATACTCCTTGATGCTTTATCAACCCTCCTACCATGTCTTTCATTAAAATACACACACACACAGTTAAAAGTCCTCCCCCCTCTCCTCCCCCAAATAAAGAAGAAATCCACAGAAGAGAAAAAAAAAAAAAACAAAAAAGGGGGGGAAAAAAAAAAAAAACCCCCCCCCCCCCCCCTCCTGGACAGACTGGCCGAGGTGTGAGATTGTGTGAAAGCGTGCGTGTGCAGATTGATGCGGTCTCACCTGGTAAGGCATTTGTTGTTGGGGGTGGCAGTGGTTTTTGTTGTGGGGGGGTGACCTCAGGCTGCAGATGTGTCTCCTTTGGTCTGGCTGTGACCTCCTGCTTTCACACCATCAGATACGGCCCACCCACTCACCTTCCACCGCCATCAAAAAAGGGGAGGGGCTTAAAAACAAAGGGTGGGGGTGCAAGAAGAAAACTGTTTTGTATGTAGCTCACCTGTGTGAAGTAGCTTTGAGTATTTGTCATGTGGAGTGTATCATTGCCTCCCCCCACCCCTTTCAACCCCCTATGTCTCCCCCCCCCTCTTCCCTCATATCCTTGTTTTTTTTTTGTTTGTTTGTTTATGGTTCACCACTTTTTCCATTTTTGACCCAGAAATTGTACATATTGACGTAATGGGGGAGGGGTCTGTTTTTATTTTAACGGCATGACCAAAACTTTTTATTTTTAGTTTGGTTTTTGTTCTCCCCCCTCCCTCCCTCCCATCTGTCCCCTCCCTCTGTCCTCCGTCTCCCCCTCCCTCTCTCTGTATATTAGACCACTTCTTGTCGTTTCAGGTTTCAGGACCAGTGGAGGCTGACGACCCCTCCCCAGGTGGCGCCGGCTCCGCCCACTGTCTCTGCAGCGTCCCTGTCTCTCTCCGCTCCCGCTATGCACACTCACCCCATTTTGTCGGTGTGGGGGGGCGGGGGAGGAGGGCAGGGCGACCACAGGCCCGCCGCCGGGGGCATTTACTACAACAGCAAACGCTGATGACGTTTTTCTTTCTTCCGTTTTTGTTTTATTCTTTTTAAATTTCTCGTCGTACTTCAGAAACACGTCGCCAACACACACTCATCACACACACACAGCCGACACACGCGTTCTGCTCACAGCTGAAGCCAGAGTAGCCGAAGGGGCAGACAGGCAAGTTTGCGAGTGAGGAAGGCGGGACCAGAGGCGAGGGTAGAGGGGGGGTTGGGGGGGACATAAAGGTGCCCTGTCTGGCGGTCCTGTGATGAGCTAACGGCGTTGATTAAAGAAAGGAGTGGGCTGGAGCTGTTTAAGGTGGTGGGGTTTGTCTGCAGACCCTTCTTTTTCCCTTGTTTTGAAAAAAGAAAAGATAAAAAGAGGGAGTGGGTTCAAAAAAAATGTTTTGCTTTTTTTATTTTTAACCCATGACTCTGTAATTAGGAGAAAAGAAATAAAGACATTGTGTAAAAATTACAACTGGAGTGTTTTTTCATTTCATCTTTATGGATTTCTGCTTTTTTAGCTCATAAGTTTGGCTCGTTGCTACGGAAGATTTACTTTTAAAAACATTTTAGACCAGATTGTTTCAAAACTTCTGCAGACTCGTTCTTTTTTTTGGTCTGAATTTAGGATCTAATCGGCCTTTTTCTACTTTCAGCTTGTAGCTTTTTCTATTTTGCCACTTTCAGTAGCTACATTTAACTTTAGCTGTTTGTGTCTTACTCAAAATGGTTAAAACGTTTTGTGGTAGTTTATCCCCAAAAAGATGCATTTAAAAGGCTGGGAAATCAAATGTTCGAGGGAAGAAGCCTTTTAATTGTCTTTTACGCAAATACATGTAACGAGCAAGCAGAAGAATCCTAACAATCGGTTAAAAAATTACTTTAAAATGTTCAGAAATCTCTTGGACATGCAGTGTTGCCAGATCTTGCGATAGAAAAGCAGCCAGCTCTGAAAACTAGCCCAACTGGCAACCCATTGTGTCAGACAGGCAGTTTTTAAACGCTATAAACACATGGCAATACACAAACAGCTAAATTATGCTTAACGCTGATAAAATAAATTTTGTATAATTTTTTCTACTTTAAAACCTGACATTGCTTGAGTGAAGCCCCCTAGTGGTCGGCCACAGTAAGGGGGGTGTGCACCCATCACCAACTGGCAGGAGGGACAAACTACCTGCTACCGCTCATCTTTTGCTTTAATGTGCGGAGCTGGGAGATAAATCAACTAGTTTCACTCGTAAAGAAACTCGAGCACAAATAACTCGACGTTCAAAAACGAGCCTAAAAAGCCGCAACCCACGACTCAAGATTTGCAAGCAAATTTAAAAAAGTCACTTTTAAGAAGCGGACTTGGCAACTATGTGTGCAGGAAGCCATTTTGTGCAAAGTAAACAATAACACGATAACTTCCAGTAAACAATTTAAATCTTGTTTTTATTTAGTGAAAGTAAAACCAGCGTGTTAAATTGCTGCTGTTGGCCTCGTCACTGGAGCGTGCAGAGTAGGTTCCTCTGGGGGGCCTAAGATGAAGCCCTGATGAACTCCAAGAAGAAAATTTGTTTGTGATGCTCGTGACAGTCATGGCTGCCCTCTAGTGGAGACGAGAAGTCTTGATTTTATTTACAGAACAAGATGGTTGGTTTTCTGACATCTGGACTCGGATTCATCGGCGCTTCTTGAAGGCTGCAGAGCAGAGGGGACAACAACCGTTGAACGGGACTCGAACCAGTTTAGTCTGATGAGTTTCAAGATCCCTCACCTTTTCTTTTGGTTTTCTTCTTCATGAGTTTCTTCTTTTTCTTCGGTCGTGGGTTGTCCTCATCCTGAACAAACAAAATTAGAGACCAAATGAACTTTCACAGAGATGACTCGTGAGTTTGTTCTTCGTATCCGTCATGATCAAGAGCTGGCCGTTCTGATGATGTCATCGACGAAGCAGAAACCTGCCATCAGGACCCACCTGTCGGCCTTCGCCGCCCGTCAGAGCTGTGATGTCACTGAAGTGTGTGATGCTGCTCAGCTGGTTGGACATGGACATCAGGTTCCTCTTCTTGGTCTTCTGACTCTTTGGGACGGTCAGACGCACCATCATCGACTCCTCGTAGTTTTTCCTGTGAAGATAGATCGATCATCAGCGACGCCTCATATCTAACCAGCGCTACAGCACGCCAGCTTTGTGACGGTCCTTCACCTGTGGAGCTCCTCGCGGGTGTCCCGCTCGCTCTGGAAGTCCCGCCGGTCCCGGATCTCCTCGGGGGCGTCGCTGTACTGCTGCCTCAGCTCCTGGATCACAGAACTCCTGAGGGCCGCCCGCCGCTGGCGCTCCATCAGAGCCTTCTTCTTGTCCGTCTCCGTCAGGTCGCCGTCTGAGGAGCAAACGGATCAGAGTCGAACTTCATCCAAAAGAAATCTTAAAACCTGCAAGTCTAAATCTGACAAACGTTACCGTAGTGGACCGGAGCAATCTTCGGCGGTACGTATTTCCTGCCACCGGAGCGGGCTGCTTTCTTCTCAGAGGCTCCCTCGTTCCCCGATTCACCTTCAGACTCAGATCCACTCAGCTGGACCGTAAAAAGATAAATTTTTAAACTTTCCTCGCACTAAAATGATCAAAAATCTAAACGGTCATCGCCAGAGTTTTAGACTAAGATCGTATGTTGAGCAACGGTGGAGCTGCAGCTTTAAACCATCTGAAATGTCAGTTTGGGACGACTCTCAGCTACCACCTCCAAATTTTAGCTCAATATCTGTAAAATGACAGTTTTTGTGTTGGGATGTCATTTCTTCACGGCTGCCATTTGTATTAAAATCAATCCAGTGGGTTGTGAAATATTTTGCTAACAGGCATAAATGTGACTTTCAACCTTCGCCTTTTGGCAGCGGGCGATAATGCAACGGTGAAAACTCACTTTGCTGATGAGATTCTCGGGGTTTGGGCGCAGCTGCAGCGGGTCGTTCTCAGCTAAAACCAACAGAAAGCAGCTAAATGTTGAAATCGCAGCTTCACGCAGAAATTAAACGACTCATCAAAAAGATCAGTCTCACATAAACTCCCGGTGACGGCCGTGCGCACCAGTTTATCCACCTGGTACTTCAGCTTGTGGTCCAGGGGCCGCATTTTCTCCAGAACCTTCAAAAGAGGGACGTAAAAAGGTCCGACATGAAGCTCGGGGAGAAGACGGTAAAACCAGCGGAGGGTGTTTACGGTCCGGTCTTACGGTTCTGATGGTGACCACTCGGTTCAGGGCGGCGCTCGCTTTGATTTGGCCTCCTTCTGCTTTGATGCCGATCAGGTGGGTGAGGTCCTGGAGATAGAAGAGCAGCAGGTGGTACCGAAGGTCCAGGAAGGACAAACCCTGAAGAAACACGAGCAGTTTCTGTTACATGTCAACAGGAAAATACACAAGTGTACAACAGCAGCTAAAATCATAAACACGGAGGCTAAAAGTAGCAAGATGGAAGCTAATATCTGCAACACAGAGGCTAAAATGAGCAATAGAGGCTAAAATTAGAACCGAAGCTAAAATCAACAAGGAAGCTAAAAGTGGAAAATTTGAGGCTAAAATGAGCTGTATAGAAGCTAATATCAGCAACACAGGCTAAAATGAGCATCATAAAAGC